ATATATATATATATATATATAATACAAAAAAGTTAATAAAAATATATGGTATAATTTTTTATTTAATTAAAGAGAAAAAAATTTAAAAATAGAAAAAGAAAAAATATAGGAGATATAGATTTTTTTTTATTTGATTTATTAGATAACGTTTTAACATACATTCAAAATTAACAATGGGGTCCATAATCAAATTATAATGGTAGCATTACCTGTATTTTTTTTAAAATCTTTAATAAATTTAATTATTTAATTTTTTTAAAAATCTTTAATAAATTTTATAAATAATTTAAAAAAAACAGTGGGGCAGTGCCCATTCATCTTCAAGTGGGTCCGCTCGTGATCACTAGGGTTTTATATCGAATTCGATTCGATTATAACTATATTTTATTTGGTTCGGATTGGTTCGGTTTATCCATAAAACCGGATGCTGACCCCCTAGAATCTGGCAACAGGAGAACAAAGAACAAAAAGAACCAAGGATGACGAATCTCATCAGCTGAATCAACCAAAAAAGAAACTTGTAAAGAAGAAAGTAAATCAAAATCTGGATGTATCAATGGAGAATGACAGAAGATAAGATGGGGAACAAGATAACAAGGACAAGGACAAGGCCGAGCACGATGGCGATACACGTCCATTTCCTCGAGCTCTTCTGGTGTTCCCTCGCGAGCTGGAGCTGGTCGGAGCCGCGCATGACGAAGGAGCTCGCCTTCGCGACGTGGGTCTCTATATCGTTGAGCATGTGTCCCTGGGCTTCGACCAGAGCCGCCATGTCCAAGAACACCTGGTGCAACTCCACCAGACTCCTCTCTATCTCCTTCACCGACTCCTGCCTTTCTTGAATCTCTGACAACGTGTCCATGATCTGTCCACGACCCTGCTCTTGTATCGCCTTCTGCAGAAAACCCTCGCTCTCTCCGCTCGATATCAGCTTCTCGATCGTCTCTTCGTCTGCTCGCTGTCCCGTAACAGTGAAGTATCTGTTCAAGAACGTACAAGAATCTAAGTCTTTTTTTTTCAGCAATGGAATCATGCAAAAGAATGGGTTTTAGGGTTTTTTTAATTGATATAAGGGGTACCGTCTCTCGACTGTTTCTTTGTACTCGGAAGAAATCTTGGCTCGTAGCCCCTGGAAATCATCCATCATGTCCTTTAACTTCTTCCCCAACCCGCTCACGACGGACGTCCTGGTCCGGTCCACGGACGAGCCGGGACCGCACCCAGGGACCTTCCTCTGAGCTGCGTTCGCTTTCTCCACGGCCTCCAGCTTAGATTTGATCATCTTGACTCGTTTCAAGACAAGTTCCACGTCCGAATCCATGCGCCCACGAAGCTTCTTCATGGCTTTGGAATCGTGAACGGTCTTGGACTCCTCGTTGGCATCTTGGAGACGCTTGTGGAGCTCTTCGACGGCTTTCATGTCTTCTTTGACGTTCTCGACATATCCGAAGAACTCGTCGAGGTTGCCTGATTCGGTTTGGCCCGCCTCGACGTCGTCGAGCTTCACCTGGTGCTTCAGGTCTGTGTATCTCTTGAAGGAGCTGGAGATGAGGTCGTTCATGGCGGCGCGGGGGGCAAAAAAAGAAAGAAAGCGGCGATAGCTATTTGGGTTTTACTTCGTTGATGATAACGGTGACGGGATCAGCTCCATGGAAATGGGAAAAAGATCGAGAGGAGCACGAAAATGGGAATTTTTTTGTTGTTGTAAAATTAACCTTAACATGTGTGGCAACCACAGATGATATATCTCAGTTACATTATATCTATACAGAAAAACGATAGGAAAATCTTTTAAATTTGTTTACATGGGTTTGTGTAATAGAAGAGGAATGTGGATTTGGTTGGTCACATGTTGCAGGGACGTGGTCTCCATTAACAAGTAGTGTGTGTTAATTTTCATAGGATGAGACATGAAGCCCACTCATCAGGTACGCACGGACCCAATGCATATTTAAATCAATACAAACACTGTGTTCATCATGTAATACGATTTTCATTCCGTAATTCCACAGCTACCCACGACCGAAAAAAAAGACGCCGTTGCCGGGGATCGAACCCGGGTCACCCGCGTGACAGGCGGGAATACTCACCACTATACTACAACGACTTTCTTCTCATTTGAAAATATTATTCTTTACTCAATGAAATAAAAATTCAATCAAAGATTTTAAATACCATTATTATATTTATTTGCATTAATTTCAGCCGCAGTATTAATTTAAGGATTAACAGCTATGCATGCTACTCAATAACATTCGAAATATGAGCATTGTAAAACGCGTAATCATGATTAAGAATTACGAATAGATGAATAAATCAAGATATATCATTAGTTATATATAGTTTTTGTGTATATATATATATATATGCATATATACGATAGAAATAGATAGCGCAATCTTGAAGCAAGGCACCACTCCAAAATGACAATATAGCAAAAATACCTTTACTTTGCTATAAAGAAAGTTATCGTCTTCCATATATATACATACATGTATGTATGTATGATTTATGTGGAGATTTGTATGATTTTCTTTGATTATTCAATCAAAGATTTTAAATACCATTATTATATTTATTTACATTAATTTCAACCATAGTATTAATTTAAGGATTAACAGCTATGCTTGCTACTCATTAACATTTGAAATATGAGCATTGTAAAACGCGTAATCCTGATTTAAAATTACGAATAGATGAATAAACTAAGATATATCATTAGTTACATATAGTTTGTATATATGTATATACACACAGACGGCAAGAATAGATGGCGCAATCTTGAAGCAAGGCACCATCCATAAGACGGTCTTAAAGTAGATGGATTTCTTCTAATATATTATTCCCACTATTTTTGGTTTTCTTTATCCGCCGTTCTTTTATATATGCAAATAGAGGCTTTGGATTCCATGGAAACTTACCAAGTCATCGGATTATGTGGTTAATGTTTATCCATATGTATGTATTGCACCATGTCATGTATACATTGGTTAACGAACACTACACACACACACACACACACATATATATATATATACAGTGTAACACATTTGGATCGATGATATATACATATATATATATGTGCTCGAGATACATATATACGGACGTCGTACACAGTGTAATATATATATATGTGATGACTCCTGATTTGGTGGTGTTATAACTCTCAGGACGCAGATACATTGAATTGGGTTAATTAGAAGAATATAATTTTTTTTTTATCTTTTTTATAGGAGATGCCACTAAATTGTGATCTAAATGATAGATATATTAATTAGACATGGCATAAGGGCTTGAGATTATAAATAGGTAGTAAATTAAAAGCAAAGTAGGAACCATTCTAATTCCATGTGGGTATAAAGACTAAAGGGTTATAAGTTATAAAAATTAATATGTGATGCCATAAGATACCAAGTTGCAAAATTAAATATGTGTGCGCGCGCATGAGAGGCCCATCTTTTCAATTAAACTAGGTTAAAATTTCAAGAATTTTGGGTGTTATATATTTTTTTTCCAGAATACATAATTAATCTTTAATCATGTAATTAATTGCATTCCTTCTCTCCCCTTTAAAAAATCGAACCCAAGACTTTTTTTTTGAATTTTTTTTATCTCTTTTTTGTTGTGTGTGTTATAATTTCCGATTTCGTTTTGTTTTGCTTATTATCACAATAGCAATTTATATTTTCGTTGTTATATTTAATTTTTCTCTCTCCCACTAAAAAAAATTGATGACTCATATGACTAAACGTTGTCAACGAAAGTTGTTTTATTTAACAAATTTTTAAAATTTTAGTTATTTATATGAAAGTTTTGAAAAGTTTAAGTATTTATTTAAAAGTTATAATTTTATAAAAGTTCAAGTATTTATATGTGATTATCCTGATATTTAATTATATTCACGTATAGTGGCTAGCCATTCTACATTTTTTTTTACGAAGAATACGAATGACAAAGATTATTTTCTGCTCTAATGTCTTTTTGTTTTCTAGAACTAAAATTACAACACATAGAGGTTGGCGATCAATTCATATTTCTTGAGGTCCAAATGTGAAAGAGTTATTTTCATTGTATGCTGATGTATCGGATACGGAGAAATTCATTATAAAACACATATTTTTTCTAAATTTCACGTACAAATACTAATGTCATGTGACTTTCTGCTGAGTGATATACGTATTTTCGAATTGGCTTATTCACATGGCATTTTCCTCATTGACCTTAGTTTTTCTAAATTGACTTATAAAAAGCCATCGGGAAATTCAAAGCCTAACAAAAAAAAACATTGGTATCTACAAATAAAAAAAAAATGCAAAGATGGATCAGCAAGTTAAGTTTTACTTTGAATAAAAGGGTAAGAGGTGAGGACAAAGACAAAGGACAATAAATCAAACTGTCTCTTAATACTCTCTTTTTTTTTTTTGTAAAGTTTAATGATTTTGGTTTGGATTAGATTAGACAAAAATGGAGATTGTAAGTTAATGTTTGTAATGTTTGCATGAGATTCAAAGCGATGAATCTTTTGGGTTTTGCCATAAATGAGAATAAAATCTATATATATTAATAATTATGTTTGAAGGATTGTGGTGAAGCCACATCATCATCTTATGTGGCAATTGTGGAAATCACATCTTTAACATGTATCGGACAAAAAGAACATAAGACGATCATTCAAGGGATTCTATTGAAATGTTTGAACCCAAGGTTCTATTGGGTTTTTCATTTGAAAGATACTTTAAATAACAGTAGTCGATAATTGGGAGAAAACAATTTGGCTGGATTTAGAGATGAATTTTTATTTACGGCATTGATTTGTGAATAATAATCTCCGTGGAATTATTAAATCATGCTTGGAAAAAACGTGTGTTGCTAATCAATATTGTACAAAGCAGCACCATGAAATATCACATATACAAATTGTTACATTTGACGTAGACACAAATAAATTAATCAGCAAATTATTAAAATCAATTATGGGTATTCTTTAAATATGAACCTTAGATGTGTGTATGTATATTTATATGTATATATGTGTAAATATATGTATATATATTAATATGTGTATATATATACACATATATATGTCTATATATATATATGTGTTTAATATTTTTATTTTTTTATGAATATATATACATTATATTTTCTGTTTTTGGTTTTAAATTGAGGTTTTTTCATGTGATAATGAGGATATGGTATTTTTCCTATATGGCAATGACATATCACCGTGTCCGTTAAATAATTAGCAACGTTAGAGTGGATGTAGGTTTATGTCAAAATTTAAAAAATTTATCATAATTTCTATAAATTTCAGAGCCAATATGTATCTAATATTTATTTTATATTTGATTATTTTTTGTTGAGAATTTTAAAAAAAAATGATATGATATTTATTTATTACGTGACATATGACGTGACAATGTTTGGTCAAAGTTTAAATTTCCACATCATAGTTGTGGTTACCATATCAATGTTTGGGGTTAAGCATTCTCAACTCATCCCAGGAGGTTATGGCTATGACTTGGCGCCGATGGAGGTGGATATGAGAAGTAGGATAGAGTGCGAAGCGGTGGAGGAAGATGAAACGACGTTGATGTATTGTAACTGTGAAGCGGAGGAACCTTGAGGATGAGGCAAAAGGATAATCAATGAATTTACTTTATTCGCCGGTAAAAACTTACAATCGGCGATGGATTTATACCGAAGGATTTGGGGGAGCCGCTGCAAAGCAGCATTGTCGGTCATATTTCGCTGACCGGAGGGCATTGTCAAAATCCCAACTGAGAGGATAACTTACGATGACCATCAACCTCTTGCTGATCCATTCATGGAATCAACGAGGAACTAAGCGCCAGTGTGGGATGTTGTCGACTATGACAGAAGCTGAATTTGAAAATTTTTTCATGGTGATAAAGATCTACGTTATAAGACACTCACATATACTTAGCAACTAATAAAAAAATAATATGGAAATTTTTTGTAGGTATAACTTCGACTTTGTGAAAGAGGAGGCTTTGGATGGATGGTACGAATGGGTTAAATTGAAAGCCTGAACAATACGAAACATCTCATCTCTCTTCAACGCATTCCCAAGACCACTATTATAGATTATATCCTAATAACCACTTCGTAAATTCATCTCCTTTTAATTTAAAAACGAGTAGATAAAAAGATTTATACACGATTTATTTAGTTATAATTTATTTAACACATTCAAATATTCTGAAAAAGAAAATTGTTTGTATAAAAATTATATATATCATAACCACCTTTTCCATTAGCATTTGATCTCAAAATTCTTCAATCATAAATCTTTTCATACCAATCCCTTTGCACGCCTTTCTCCATGTCGTTGCAAGTTGTTCCTTCTTGAACATAGAAGAGCGTGACACAAAACTAATATACGTGATCACGACATCTCGCCAAAATCCTATTTTGAAAAAACGCTTCGATACCTTTAGTATCCATTTGGTTTATAATCCTTATTATTTATGCATAAATTTTTTTTCTAAATTTTATTTACTAAACAAAAACATAAAAACAAATAAATTTCCGATTCACGTGAGATTCTATTTTATTGGATTATATTTAAATTTTATTGTATTTTTTCCCTTTTATTCGGATTCAATTTTTAAAAAATTATTACCATTTAATTTTTTTATAGAAAATTGTATTGAATTGTTTAGTGTGAAACATCATCACCATCATTATTATTATTATGTGAATATATACATAAATATAAAAAAACTGACATATTATATTGATTAAATACATATTTCACCGTAAAAAATATAGAAAATTAGTATTCAGCATATATACAAAAATAATTTTATAATATAATAATATAATGATGTCTATATTCCTTCATCTTCTCCCTTCTCTATATAGATCGATATATAACTTTTATTATCTTCATATAAATGATTTTTTAAAATAAAATAGCAAATATTTAAAATAACAATAAAAAAAAAAGAATAATGTTAAGGTGGAAATCACATCTTTAACATGTATCGGACAAAAAGAACATAAGACGATCATTCAAGGGATTCTATTGAAATGTTTGAACCCAAGGTTCTATTGGGTTTTTCATTTGAAAGATACTTTAAATAACAGTAGTCGATAATTGGGAGAAAACAATTTGGCTGGATTTAGAGATGAATTTTTATTTACGGCATTGATTTGTGAATAATAATCTCCGTGGAATTATTAAATCATGCTTGGAAAAAACGTGTGTTGCTAATCAATATTGTACAAAGCAGCACCATGAAATATCACATATACAAATTGTTACATTTGACGTAGACACAAATAAATTAATCAGCAAATTATTAAAATCAATTATGGGTATTCTTTAAATATGAACCTTAGATGTGTGTATGTATATTTATATGTATATATGTGTAAATATATGTATATATATTAATATGTGTATATATATACACATATATATGTCTATATATATATATGTGTTTAATATTTTTATTTTTTTATGAATATATATACATTATATTTTCTGTTTTTGGTTTTAAATTGAGGTTTTTTCATGTGATAATGAGGATATGGTATTTTTCCTATATGGCAATGACATATCACCGTGTCCGTTAAATAATTAGCAACGTTAGAGTGGATGTAGGTTTATGTCAAAATTTAAAAAATTTATCATAATTTCTATAAATTTCAGAGCCAATATGTATCTAATATTTATTTTATATTTGATTATTTTTTGTTGAGAATTTTAAAAAAAAATGATATGATATTTATTTATTACGTGACATATGACGTGACAATGTTTGGTCAAAGTTTAAATTTCCACATCATAGTTGTGGTTACCATATCAATGTTTGGGGTTAAGCATTCTCAACTCATCCCAGGAGGTTATGGCTATGACTTGGCGCCGATGGAGGTGGATATGAGAAGTAGGATAGAGTGCGAAGCGGTGGAGGAAGATGAAACGACGTTGATGTATTGTAACTGTGAAGCGGAGGAACCTTGAGGATGAGGCAAAAGGATAATCAATGAATTTACTTTATTCGCCGGTAAAAACTTACAATCGGCGATGGATTTATACCGAAGGATTTGGGGGAGCCGCTGCAAAGCAGCATTGTCGGTCATATTTCGCTGACCGGAGGGCATTGTCAAAATCCCAACTGAGAGGATAACTTACGATGACCATCAACCTCTTGCTGATCCATTCATGGAATCAACGAGGAACTAAGCGCCAGTGTGGGATGTTGTCGACTATGACAGAAGCTGAATTTGAAAATTTTTTCATGGTGATAAAGATCTACGTTATAAGACACTCACATATACTTAGCAACTAATAAAAAAATAATATGGAAATTTTTTGTAGGTATAACTTCGACTTTGTGAAAGAGGAGGCTTTGGATGGATGGTACGAATGGGTTAAATTGAAAGCCTGAACAATACGAAACATCTCATCTCTCTTCAACGCATTCCCAAGACCACTATTATAGATTATATCCTAATAACCACTTCGTAAATTCATCTCCTTTTAATTTAAAAACGAGTAGATAAAAAGATTTATACACGATTTATTTAGTTATAATTTATTTAACACATTCAAATATTCTGAAAAAGAAAATTGTTTGTATAAAAATTATATATATCATAACCACCTTTTCCATTAGCATTTGATCTCAAAATTCTTCAATCATAAATCTTTTCATACCAATCCCTTTGCACGCCTTTCTCCATGTCGTTGCAAGTTGTTCCTTCTTGAACATAGAAGAGCGTGACACAAAACTAATATACGTGATCACGACATCTCGCCAAAATCCTATTTTGAAAAAACGCTTCGATACCTTTAGTATCCATTTGGTTTATAATCCTTATTATTTATGCATAAATTTTTTTTCTAAATTTTATTTACTAAACAAAAACATAAAAACAAATAAATTTCCGATTCACGTGAGATTCTATTTTATTGGATTATATTTAAATTTTATTGTATTTTTTTCCTTTTATTCGGATTCAATTTTTAAAAAATTATTACCATTTAATTTTTTTATAGAAAATTGTATTGAATTGTTTAGTGTGAAACATCATCACCATCATTATTATTATTATGTGAATATATACATAAATATAAAAAAACTGACATATTATATTGATTAAATACATATTTCACCGTAAAAAATATAGAAAATTAGTATTCAGCATATATACAAAAATAATTTTATAATATAATAATATAATGATGTCTATATTCCTTCATCTTCTCCCTTCTCTATATAGATCGATATATAACTTTTATTATCTTCATATAAATGATTTTTTAAAATAAAATAGCAAATATTTAAAATAACAATAAAAAAAAAAGAATAAACCGCGCATCGCGCGGGTCATACCTAGTAATAATTAAAAGTTCATATTTGTAGACGAATCTTTGATTAATTACGGAAAATCACTAATCATAAATTAATTAATTATATTATAAAATAAACCATGTGTTAGAGATATGAAAGTGGAAGTTCAATTCAAGTGATAGTCCCTCAAAAGAAAAAGACCAAACCCTCTCTTCATGTCCCTCTGTCTCTCTTCTTCTTGAAACTTATAAAGAAGAAGACGAACGCCATCACTTCGGAAGCTTGCGGGGAGCGTCATCAATGGAGTTTCATCTTGAACGCCCTTTCTCACACTCTCTCCTCCATAACTCCGCCGACACGTTGCCCTCTTCTCTCTTCCTCCTCGAATCCCAACACATGCCTTCGTCCCATTACTTGCAGAGAATCAAGTCTTCTGCTTTTCGCCTCTCTGATCGACGTCAGGCCATTTCTTCGATTTCCCAGGTTTGATTCGACCATTTCATAACTGCCCACCATTTGATTTCTTCTGTCCTTTTTTTTCCCGTGTTTGACGTCTCTCTGTCTTAATGTGATCGTTGTCGGATTTGGCTTTGGTACGTGTGCAGTGTTCTAGACAATTCCACGATCCCTCTCTGACGTATCTGGCGGTAAACTACCTGGACAGGTTCTTGTCTTGCCAGGGAATGGCGGTAAAAGGATCTTCCGACATCTTTCTCCTTGATCCGTGGTTGCATTTTTTGGTCGGAGTTTATCTGAAGTTTCTCGAGTTTTAACTGATTTTGCAGCAGTCGAAGCCATGGATTGTGAGACTGATATCTCTCTCTTGCGTCTCTTTGGCTGTCAAGATGAGGAAACCAGAGAGCTCTGTACAAAATCTTCAGGTATAAAACAAAAGCCAATAAGCTCTGTCTCTGAACAAAGATTGTTTTTTTATATTGCAGTAACCAAATTCAGATGAATATGAATGTGAACGTGTGTATCTGCAGGTAGAGGGAGGTGTAATATTCAGTGCGAAGACGATAGAGAGAATGGAGAATGTGATATTGGGAGCTCTCAAATGGAGAATGCGCTCTATCACTCCCTTCTCCTTCTCTTCCTTCTTTCTCGATCTCTTTGAGCCCAAAGACTCTCTTTCAAGACACGCCCTCAAAGCTCGGGCCCATGATCTTGTCTTCAATCTTCAACATGGTATCATACTCAGTTTCTTCTTCGACTCATTTCAGTAACCGAAACAAGAAAAGACGAAACCCTTTTGTTTATCGATATCCGTTTCTGCAGAGACTATGTTCCTCGAGTTCAAACCATCAGTGGTGGCAGCTGCTGCTCTTCTGGCCGCTTCTTCAGAGCTGTCCTCTGCAGTTCCCACGTTTCAGGAACACGTTCTCCCAATGTTCATATGTAAATAAGGTATAATGGAAGTTGGAAGAATGGAAAAAAAGGAAGAGGAATCGACAGTTCTTGTAGCTTGCGTTTGGATCCATCATCTTGTTAGTTCATCCTTTTTATGAATTGTCTCACAGGATGAGCTTATGGATTGTTACAACTCAATGCAAGAGAATGTGACTGAGGAAGAAAACGAGGGAAGCACAGATACGGCCATGAATGTGCTTGACCAGCAATTTTTAAGCTCTGAAAGCGACAAGAGTGTCACTGCTGCAGATTCTCCGCCAAAGAGGAGGAAGACTAGTAGTGTGGCCGATGTTAGAAACCGAGCAGCCTCTCCAATTCGATGAGAAGTGATCAAACGGGCAAGACGGGTCTCGGGTTTCTGTTTCAGTTGTCGTGTTCCATATCTCAGTTTGGTTAACAGGGTTATTAGCTCTCCTTGCTTCTCTAGCGCTTGTCACCATTGACGGCAATTCAGGATTTTTAGTTGTGTCACATGCAATGTACAATCCTGAAATCAGTTGTGGGTCTGAGAAACCTAAAAAGCTGTCCAAAAAGTTCATAGCTGTGACCTCTTTGAAGTTGATGGCAGCTAACCCTAAGTTGCTTGTGTCTGAAGCAATCGTCAAGATTCAGTTTTTAGATAGGAGGAAAGCTTGGATCAGTGAAGAATTTCAAATTTGATCTCCAAGAACAATCCGATATGAAACCAAACCACCATTGTTGGAAAGAACATGAACTGTACTATAAACATGAAACATGGAGCTACATGGCTGGTTTTTTTTAAATGCCAGAACAGTTTTCTCTGCTTAAAGTCTACAAATGGCGATGGTGTTGGCACTCGAGAGGAGTAACAGGGAACCGAGTGGTATCGAAGCAGTAGTCATAAATCAAGTGGTTGGCTCGAACCCATACAAGTTGGTGGCTCTGGTGAAGGCTGAGTTCAGACAACGTGGGCTCATCCCACCAGAAACTCTTGTCCTTGCTTCCGCCATTGCTGCATTTGGTGAGCTCGTTGGAGGTAGGGCACTCACAGGCATCGATCTCAAAGCCCTTGTAGGAGGCCACAAATGGGGCATGGCTCCAATCTGTCTTGACCAGACCACCTTGAGTTGCCCAATCGTCTGCGTTCCAGATCGAACTGTACACTCCCATGGCTTGGTCCTTGGCAAATGGAATCCCTTTGTCTTCAAGATTCTTGTGAACTCTTATCGGTGCCTCGTCGACCATGAACCTGATTCATTTCCCAATAGTTAGTGCTCCGTTTCATTTCATACCAAGAATTTCAATCATCGCAAAGGGTGGTAAGCAGTTCTTGATTCATAACTTACACGACGATGCGCTGATTCCAGAGGATGGAGTAAGTGTGGAAATCAGTGGTTGGATCGAACCAGAGGTTGAGCCTCTGTTCTCTGTTACCGACACCGTTCACGTAAATGTTGGTCTGTAACAGGTAGGGTTCGCCGGTTGTGTTCCCCAAGAACTCGAAATCAAACTCGTTGTGTTTCGGACCATCCGAAGACATCTGTTCACATCATCATCCTCGCGATTTAGACAGAACAAAAACCTCGTATGGGTTTCCGACAAAAAGGGAAGAACAGAGGGAGAAAAAGGGGAAGAACGAATGAGTACGTAGAAAGCAGTGACAGTGCCTGCAGAGTCTCCCTCGACGAGTTTGATCTGGATAGAGACTTTCCCGTACATATACTTGCTTTTGGATTCAAACCCAGCTCCTGAAAATCAAGAATCTACTCAGTCATTTCAGCTTTCCAACGCCTGAAGGGTTTCAAAGCTGAGAGAGAGAGAGAGAGAGAGAGAGAGAGAGAGAGAACAAGAACGAGGGTGTTTAACGTCGTGTGCATTACCAGAGAAGGTATCGAGCTTGAGCCTGATGACCTCTCCTTCGTAGACGACATGGTCTGTAGCCCAACTCGGCTGGTACAAATCCTCGAACTTGGTTCCAGAAACCACTCCACAGATCGCCAGACACATCACCCACACGAACCAATCCATACCCACTAAACTAAACTCAGCAAGACTCTCTCTCTCTCCGTCTCTCACTGGAGCATGAAGAAAACAGGAGGGAGTGAAGTGTATATAAAGGCGAATGATGAGCTGGCATCCAATGCCATGTTGGACTCGACGTGTGATTCGGGACACACACACATTAGTGAACAAACCCCACAACCTTCAAAATTGAACACACAGAATCAGTAAAAATGTAGCCGTTACTCTGTGCCCACACTTTCGAAACAAAGATGGGCGACGACAAAAGATGACAAGAATTTATGCCCTTAGGTCCAAAAACTTTGTTCTCTTGCATAAAGTTAATAAATATAGACATGCCCTTATCTCCACACACACAAACAATGTAGGCTTAACCCAGAAAATGTGAATTGAAGTCCGAAAGTCTGCAACTTTACAATTGGGCACACCTGAAATGACAATGTTATTATAATGGAATACTGATTAAAAGACCTAAGTACTTACAAAAGATTTGAAAAAGGGAGAGTGAAAAAATTGAAAAAAAAATAATTATCCAATTTGGAATGGAGATGCAAAGTGTCTGTCTCATCTCGAGTTCGAGTCTCAAATATGGGAAAAAAACGTATATTCAATCGAATAACTTTCTTTCGATTCCAAAATTAGTCTAGATTTCGGTCTAGAACATACGATTATTAAAAAAAAATCGAAAATGGTATAAATGCATGCAAGGAGGGTGTGGGGGGACTAAGAGGAGAGAATAAAAACAGGACCATATTTTACAGGTAAGCAAGTTTTGGAAATTGGAATTGGAAACAGCTGTCCGTTTGGCTTCCTTTGTCGGTAGTTCCCCTTTCAAATCTTTTTGTTCAGAAAGCATTTATTGTTCTCTCTCTCCCCTCGGTTTCTGGAACTTCCTTTTCCATGTCTGACAATGGATGAGGACATGACGTCAGCTAATGAAATATCTCATCGATGAATGCTCGTACTTAACCTCCCCCCCACCCGACGGTCTGTTTTTTTAAATCGGTGTGTAACATGTGACATTTGTCATGGCTTTCCTCTTGTCGTTTACACGACATAGTGAACCAGACGACAACATCCATGGACCATGGACAATGCCTGGTTCATGGGCATCAGGTTTAAACCCTATCTTCTGAAATGCCCACAACTTACTGAATTGGCATCGCTTAAATATATTTTTAGATGATTGGCAATCGATCTAGTTTGATCCCAACACAATTTCATTAGGGTTACTTGCTGTTCAAGTTATCTGAATCACCACCAAATCCCATACCTTGTGCTCCAAGTCTTCTTTCATCGCCTCTATCTCAACAGAATGTTGCATATGCGTCGAGGCCATTCTCAGTGTTTGGTTAACACAGGAATTCCCGAAAGTCCGTTTCTCAACGGGTTCACGGGGGCTCGGGATTTCCACCATTGATGATGGTAGTATCAGGCATCATTCGAGACCAAGCTTACATGAAATGAGTGTATCAGTGATCTTACAACGTCATGATACTCATTCTCTCTCTCTCTCTCTCTCTCTCTGACGCTATACAACAAACATCTCATCATCACCTTCCTATTTCAGTATCATGCCTTCTGCTATCTTCTATCTCCACATCTCAAACGTGATCCTTTCCGTGTTGGAAAAATCAGAAGCATGTTGCATGCAAGAGCATGATGGCCCTTCTTCATTACACTCTCTCTCTCTTCAGTAAACTACTCTATAGAACGAATAAACCTACTCTGCCATTATACGAGGTAACAGTTAGTTGCGGGAGACACGGGCTAGATCCATTCCTTTGGGATACAGGCATCCAATAGCTTCCACTCCTCTGTCCCCTCTTCGGGTTTCTGCACAGACGACAAGGGAATCCCCATCAAACTGAGTACAGATCTTGTTCCTCGGAAAAAAAAAGAAGATATTTACATGGTCATATTCCCATCTCGCTGTCAGAGGAAGAGAGACGAGAATGCTCTCTATTCGCCCTCCTGTCTTCAAACCGAATGTCATCCCACGATCATATACCTTCCAAGTCGGCACAAAATACGTTAGACAATGTTTCACGTCAATTGAAGAGGTATGAGAAATATGTATACCAAGTTGAATTCGACGTATTTTCCTCTTCGCAGCTGCTGCCATGCCTTGTGCTGCTCTGCAAAAGGGGTGTCTTTCCTTTTCTCTACTATCGGTATATACGCTGGCACGACTGAGTTTGCACATTCTGCAAAGCCCCCAAGACATACATACTCTAAGGAGAAAGCTGATAAAAGATGGGTTGTCCTTTAGGAAATGGCCATTACAAGTGGCGAAAGCCAGAAGCATCTCTTGATCATAGTCATTTAGATCATCGAAAAATATCCCTCCAAGCCCTCGTCTCTCATCACGGTGCTGCACCCCAGCATCACATAAACTTATCAGTGCGTCTACTTACTCAGACTTTGGATATAAACAATACCTAACTCCTTAAAAAACCGATCCTCTCAGATCATGAACATATTCTTAAACGGAAGATGACTCTAAACCTAAGGCATTCCCTTCCAAAGAGCCCGAACATCAGAGAATTACCAGAGTTGTATAACATTTAACCTTGTACCTTGATACAAAAGTAGTCATCACACCATTTCTTAAATTGAGGGTAGAAGGAAGGATCGAATTTGTCGCAGGCTTGTTTTTGGATCTACAGAGGAAAGAAATCACATGAGCATTAAGCAAGCAACTCCATAAACAAAAACGCTTTTTCTCCGCAAATAAAGGATGCTCCTTGATACCGAGTGGAAGTGCCTGACATCCTCCTCGAAGATGTAAGAAGACGTGAGATCAGTCCCACCGCCGAACCACCATTGCCTCGGTGCTCCAGGAGAATCTGTGCTCATGAAAATGGCAATCCATCTATCAAGCTATGCCCAACCAAGAATTAGCACTTCACCTTTCCATACATGGGCAAACACAGGAACACAGATAATTCAGCCTATTACGCTTTGGAGGATCCGTCTCGAGATAGCGATAATTGAAATGCAGAGTGGGGGGAAAAGGGTTCGTGAGGTGCAAGACCTGGAAACACAGAAAGGTCCTCGCTTGGAGCGATCAAACCCAATCAACAAGAGAAACAGATTTGAAATTGAACGAGACATGTGAACAGACAACTACCGAGCTGATACCGGCGGCGAAGAAGGGAATAGGGCCGGGCTTCTGGTCGGAAGCGGCGGCTTTGGCCGCTCTGTAAGCTTCGGGAGGCATAACACCATAAACCACAGAGACATTAACTCCGGCCTTCTCCCAGACATTGCCGTCTTCCAAGACACGGCTGATCCCACCGCCTCCGCCGGGTCGGGACCATACATCCTCCTTGAACTTGGGACCACCTTCGACGGCTTCGCAAACACTGTCCTGAGCAGCCCTTATCATCGACTCGAAACGGACCCTCACGGAAGAAGAAGAGGGAGAAGATTGAGCAGCGCCTCCCTGAGGAAGATGAAGGGACGCTCGGCTTCTGGGACCTCCTTCTCGATGGAGACTGAGCATCGTACAAAGAATTTGTTGGAATTCGGCCTCGAGGGAAGAAAAGAGTGGATAGAGAAGAGCTTCGAAGAAGGGTGAAGACGATGGGAGGAGATGAGAGACAAAGACGACGGACAAGAAAGGGACGCCATTTCTTAGGTCGATCAGATTCTCGAGTTGAATCTTGTGCTGTGGAAGAAGAAGATGGTGTTCGTGTTTGTTGATGGAAACAATCATCGGACGGTCCACATTCATTCCTAGTGTTTTGTTTTTGTAATCGGTCACTAAAACGACGTCGTCGCTTCCTTCTTCAATGGTTCCAATTGGCTCTTCGTATAAAAAGAGGAGACCTCATTCCAAAGAAGAAATTTTGAAAAAAAATAATAAAAAAAATAATGGTCGGACATGTCTCCCCGCCTAGCCCTCCGTTCCCAGGTTTGTTAGATCTGTTTGGATTCCGAGAAATTGCGGAAATATGTATCTGTATGCATGCTTATATGCTCTTGCTTAATCATCTTTTCTTCTCGATCGGAATTTCGCAAATCTAGCCTTTTCTCGCCGGAATCGAGATCTCCTCTATCTTTTTTTTTTTGTAATCGTGATCATGTTTTTCGTTCCCTTCTTACAAGGATTTCCTATGCAAGACATGTGTTTGGATGGATTGTGAGAAATGAAACTACGTACATGTCATTCATAATTTCACATATAGAATAGACATTCTTCTCCGTCGAGATTGAAGTTTCTTCTGCATTTTTTGTAAATTCGGTGCTTATTTTTTCTGTGCGAAATCTCTTATGCAAAACGCGTTTTTCTCCCCCCAAAAAAATGAAGGGACCAAAGAAGTGAAGAAGCAGCAGGCTTTTCTTCCGTCGCCGTCAAAAGTGGCGTATCATTTCGGCACGAGCGGAGTATCTGTCGCTGTGGCCACAGGCTTGACTCATCCTCTTGGTTCGATCTGATTCCTAATTTCTCGCCGCTTTTGTATCTTATCGCCTTTGCGAGTCCTTTAGGATTATAAATCCATGGAGCGTTTTTGGGTAGATCAAGAAATTTTCAGTCAAGCTTCGATTTTGTTGTGTTGGGTCTACTCCGTTCTTTGTTGCCCACCAAGACAAAAAAGAAAACTGTTGCCTGTGGCTGTTCAGACATTTGCAAAGCATTTCTTCAGGTTCCTGTGGTTGATCATGTCTCTTGCTCAAAAGATTAAGCGCTTGAATGTAATGCCTTTGTAGCATTGGGCTTATAGAAACGAGAAAGATGTCTCGGAAGAAATGGATGATTATGTTTCGGTGATTAAGGTTCTATTACAACTGTTGCTTGTGTCAATCTCGTTTTGCAGATGTGCTCAAAGTAAGGTTGCAGATGCAACTCGTCGGCCAAAGAGGTCCTCTAATTGGAATGGTAATACTCTGATAGCCTTATATTGGGATTATGGGGGACTGTTGGTTAATTTAGTGGCATAATTTCATGTGGCCAGAGTGGATTGTTTCTTCAACTATTGAAGAACGAAGGCCCCAGGTCTTTGTACTTGGGATTGACCCCTGCTTTAACTAGGTCGATGCTTTATGGGGGTCTTCGTTTAGGCTTGTACGAACCCACAAAGTTTGCCTGTGATTGGGCGTTTGGTTCCAACAATGTCTTGCTTAAGATTGCATCCGGGGCATTCGCGGGGGCATTTTCGACAGCTTTGACCAACCCAACAGAGGTTCTGAAGGTAGATGAACTCTTAAATGTTTCGACTTCTGTCAATTTTCATCTTCAATATCCCCTGAGTGTTTTGACACAAACTAGTTGCTTTTCATTAGGTTAGGTTGCAGATGAACCCAAACACGCATCCTTCTACGGAATTGAGGAAAATAGTTTCTGAAGAGGGTGTAAGAGCGTTATGGAAAGGGATTGGTCCTGCTATGGCTAGAGCTGCAGCGTTAACCGCATCTCAGCTTGCAACATATGACGAAACCAAGCGGGTCCTGTTCTAAGACTACTGTTTTCCACTTTGAGCACCATGAAGTAATTTCCGATTTTCGGAGTGATGCTCGTTCTCGATTGTTTATTCAGAAAAGAAACCCTGCTCTCTGACATTTTTAGCTCCCGAAACTTCTGAGTGCAGATTCTGGTCAGACGGACACCCTTGGAAGAAGGGTTTCATCTTCATTTGTGGTACACACTTTCTCTACTTTTGTTCTGCAATCATTAACAAAAACCATTGTTGTTCATGCAACCATATGACGCATCTAACCTAACTCTGGCAACTTCTTGAAGCTCGAGTGTGATTGCAGGTATAGTGAGTACGCTTATAACTGCGCCCATAGATATAATTAAAACCCGTCTGATGTTACAACAAGAGTGCAAAAGCTCGAGAATCTACAAAAACGGTTTCCATTGTGCATATAAGGTAGCTTAGGAAATTGTCTGAAACTTCTCTCTTTGGCAATGGTGATTTGATTTCGTGTGGGCATAGTCATATAACGTTCCCGTGATGTTTTGTTTCAGGTGGTTCTCAACGAAGGACCCTTAGCCCTTTATAAAGGGTGAGAAATGCTCGACCTAGAAAATCGCAAGTACTTTCCATAATCGAGGTTACGAGTGTTTTGAACAATGAATTGCATTGTTTAATTTGGTTCAGGGGCTTTGCGATTTTCGCAAGACTCGGTCCTCAGACCACGATAACCTTCATACTGTGCGAGAAGCTAAGAGCAATGGCCGGGCTTCACACCATCTAGCATTGCCTCATCAGCCACTCGTTTCAGTTCAGTAACATGATCCAGATAAGTTTGATATTCCTTTCGCTATGCAAAATTCTTTATACACTGTGATTCATCGTGTAAGAATGACCCTTCATCGATCAACTTCTACCTTCCGTCTTAATGAATTCAATATCTATAGAGGAACAAGATGATAATTCTCTCTGCAAAATTCTTTGTACACTGTGAGGTTCGTAGTGTAATAATACCATTGATCAACTTCTGTCTCCAATGTATTATGTTAATGAATTCAATATTAATAGAGTTACATAAACAATAAAATATCAATCAACCTTTCTGTTAAATGTTTTCTTTATATAGATTTTCTGTGAACGTAGCATGGTTTCGTTTAGGACTGGGCATCTCGGTATCCAAATCCATCCACAGGTAATCGTTCCATGGTACCCGAAATTTGGAAACCCGAGTTGCTGTGACATCGATCACGGATTTTTCATTGCGAGAACCCGATTTTTGCACTTGAGGTTGACCCGATTTTTGGACTTAGTTTGGGTTTTGATCGACGATTGCCAAAACCCGTGGGTAATATGTCAAGGGGCTTCGAGGACCGAGGGACACATCCTTTGAACATATATTGTTTTGTCTTAAAATAGGGTCTAGGGTCGAATGACGACTTGAAACCTCAATACTCACGGCGGAAACGGCGATTTGAGCCCTCGCCATTCGTATAGGGCATGGGCACACTATCTACTTCACTAAGGGTTGGCTGGATTCAAACACTTTGCTCATGTATCTTTTGCAAAAAAGGTACCACATGATCTAATACATGTATATCACAGCTATACTGTTGCATCTTTGATAATATAATCCATTTTGAAACAGTCACTTCTGCGAAATGTTACCGGCTTGGCTTTACCTTTTCCTCTTTGCACGCCTTCTTTCCGCTTCGTTCTCTGCAGCGACGACATGGAACTCGGGTCCAATCATGTCGTGTACGTCCATATTCATGGAGGTGCTAAGATTCACTGTCTCCGTTATCACTTCTAGCGTCAGGCTGAAGCCTAAGTTAGAGAGAACACGAATGGCATTTGCGATCCTGCATATGCTCTGTCTTGTCTCGAGCGGAGTGTGCTTCTGCTCTTTCTTCAACTATTGAAGAACGAAGGC